TATTTAACACTTCCAAAGTCAATATAAATAACAAAGGAGATAATGGGCATCCTTGTCTTGTACCTTTTTTAATATTAATAGAATCTGTAAATTCTCCATCTATCATTACTTTTGCCGTTTGCTTATAATATATGGCTTCTATTGCTTGGATAAATTTTCTAGCAAAGCCCATCTGTTCCAATAATAATAACATAAATCTCCAATTCACATTATCAAATGCCTTTTGGGCATCTAAGAATATCAAAGCCATTTGTTTTTCAGGGTGCGCCTCGTAATATTCCAATGTGTCCAGGATTACCCTCATATTGTCTTTAATTTGTCTCTTTGGTAAAAATCCATTCTGATCAGGGTGAATAAAGTTGTTAAAGTATTTTTTAAGCCTCTCTGCCAAGATTGAAGCAAAGATTTTATAATCTGCATTCAATAAGGAAATAGGTCTATAGTTCTTAATTTGTAATGGGTCAACCCCTTCTTTTGGGATAAGTGTAATATAAGCTTCTAACCATGTTTTAGGTATTTTCTTGTTTATCATAACTTCATTCATGACTTCTAACAGTGAAGTGCTCAACGATTCTTGTAATGTTTTATAAAATTCTGCCGGGATACCATCTGGTCCTGGTGCTTTTCCATTGTTCTGTCTGTTAAGTGCTTCGGTTAGTTCCATCATTATTATAGCACTTTCTAACATTTTCCCAGTTTCATCAGGTATCTTAGGTAGGTTAGCATTTTGTAAATACTGTTTAATTTTTTCCTCATCAAGATCCTCCTGTTTATATAATTGTCCATAGAAGTCTCGAATAATTGCCTTTTTCTCTTTATTACCATAACAAATTTGACCTTAATCGTCTATTAACTGTAATATTTTCCTTGATTCTTTCTCTTTTCTCAATTTATATGCTAACCATCTACCTGGCCTATTTGCATCTTCAAAATAGTTCTGTTTAGCACTTCTAATTTTTTGTGCCAGTTCTTCTTTCTCTACTTGATCCATTTTATGTTTGATTATATCCATTTTAAGTTTAATATCTTTTTTCTGTGGCGTTTTCTGTAATTCTTTTTCCAGTTAGAAATATTATAGAGGAAATCTTTGAGGAATGGAGCCAGAAGATACCAACAACACTGTTAATAAGTATTTATTTCTATGGATAGACTGTATCTAAAACAAGTTGATGAAGGAATTACAGATGTCACACAAATTTTATCTAATAACTAAGAATGTTTTTTCTTTTCTTTTTTTCCTGCACTTTTTATTCTCTCCATCCATTTCTCTAAGTTTAGTTCATATTATAATTATTGTAATTAAAATTCTTAATAAAAATTACATTTTAAAAAGATAAGCACATCTGGCAATATTGCTCCTCTTTGCATAAAAATAAGGACTTATTAATTTTAACTATATCAAATTGATAAAATTTCATATTTTTCTTGTCTTAAAGTACATCTATTTGTTTGAACTGCTTTCTTTCAATTTTCCTAATACCATAGGGGATTTTCACTTTCTTTTTTCTATATTGCTTATGGTATCTCAAAGTTGGGAAAAATTCAGCAAATCTTACTGTGGAATACAGTCCTCATCCATATCTATTTAGAATCATCAAGAATAGAATCTGGGACTTTCTGTATACAAAGGTGGGGCACTTTTACTGAAGCTAAATGTCTGTGGACATTCTTAGTCATCCAGGTCATAGTTGTCTCAACGTTGCTTTTTTCTGCAAAAGGCAATTGGACTGTTTTTTCCTTGAGGAAGAAAAGAAAATGTTTTTCTTCTCATCCAAGAAGTTTCATCAGTTCTGGTGATGGGGGAATGGAAGTAATGAAACTTCTTGAATGATAAGTGAAATGTTTTATTTTTCTTCCTTAAGGAAAAAAGAGCCCAGTTGCCTTTTGTAGAAAAAGCATATTTGATATATTAATGAAGTTATTGTCTTTTTTCCCAAATATAATATAAAGAAAGAAGGTAACTGTCAAGACTGACATAGTATCTTTATTTTCCCACTCGTTGCTGTAGCACAGGTTTGAGAAACAGGAGGTGCACTACACATTTAAATGTTTCAATCAGATAGGTTATTTGAAATGAGCCTGCCCAATTCTGATGTTGTGAAGGCGACTAATAATACCCCGTTTCCATCCCCCCCCAATTTTAGAGCTATTGGTAGAGAGAAAAATATTTCCACTAGATTTTGAATGCAAAAGGAAGCTTCAATTCACTTCTTTTTCTTCCCACTATTTTAACCTCCCATCTATCATTGAATGCTGCTGCAGGTAACTGTGACACTAAAATGCATGGCTGAAACACATGCATATCAAGAGCAGAGCATTTTTAAAAAAAGAGAGAGAATATCTTTTAAATGTGAAAATATTAGCTAAATAGAGAATATTCTCTAAATAAAAATATTTTCTAAATAGTCAGTTTGATCTAGTGGTTAAGGCACCAGGCTAAAAAGCAGAAGACACTGTATTCAAGTTCTGTCTTAGTCTCAAAAGCCAGGGTGACTATGAGTGACTATGGCCTAGTCACGCTTTCTCAGCCCAACCCACCTTACAGAATTGCTGCTGTGGGGAAAAATAGGAGGAGGAGGATATGTCAGGTACATTTACTGCCTTGAGATAATTTGTAAAAATAATAAAAGCAGATTACAAATAAGATTAAAAAATAAGTTAATTGATCCATTAGCACTATATATACTCATTTCCAAGGCTATTGAATGTTTCAATAACATTTGGTTGTTGAAGTTTGCATTTTTATATAAGTATATTATGGCAGCAATAAAGTAATAATGTATTCTAACAATAAAAGTGATATCACCTCCAAATTCTTCCTAATTTTTGTACAGATGAGATACTGAAAATTCTTGTGTAAAGAAAATACGGCAGGGTTCATCTAACATAATCTATAAAGTGTCAAGGGACTTTCTATATGCCATCTGGCAATGCCAAATAGAATATTCTAGCCTTCAAAGAAGAGGATGACTTCACTTCACTCTCAAAATGCTCCAAGCAATATAGCCATTACATTTTGGGAGTTGATGTCCACATATCTGTAAGATGCTCAGGAGGAAGAAAGTAAATTTATGCAGAGTCACATTTGGATAGATGCTATATGCGCCTCCCTATTTGCAGTAACCTGTTGGAAGAACTTTGAAATAAAAAAAAGGACTGATCTAAATTCTCATGCATTGTATTATACATTTAAGCTATTTTGCATAATCAAGAAAATGCTTCACATTTATACTCTTCTAAGTCCTGACGTTACATCTCAAAACAAGGACACATTTTCTTTCAGTCAATTGTATCTAACAAATAATAATGCACATATAATGCTCCTCCCTCCCTACACAGAGTTGGCAGAAAAGATCTCATGATTACAATCTTTCTTTAGTTTGCCTTTGTTTCTCAGAACTCCATTATCAACTCACATGTTTGCAAACAGCTTTTTTGTAAGGGGGAAAACAGCCCAACTAAAGTACATCTTCTAGATATTGTAAAGTGAGCCTGAATTTAAAAAAAAAATCAAACCAGAAAGTATATTAAACCAGGAAAAAGATGTAGAAATAGATTTGTAATGTTGAAAGGGGGGAACAGGGAGAAAACAACAACAGCTGCAATGTCATCACATTATTTAAATCAAAGATCAGCAAAACACTCCCATTGTTTAAAAACAACTATATTTTTAATATAGTTCACTCTAATAAAATATCCATTCAACCACAGAAAGTAGCAGCTGCAGATATATCAACAGATATATTCCAGCTTCTTTCCCACAGTCAATGCTTTGTCACCAAAATGTATGATCTGTCATTGAAAGGCTTCTTGACTTTTTCAGAGAGGAAGTAAAAAAAATCAATCTCACCATCTACTGCCTTTGAAACTGCTAGGCAGTGACTGGGTCTATTGAAGAGAGCTAACTCCACTAATCTTCCCCAGACCCTTTGGGTGAATTGTACTCCAACTCCCATCACCCTAGCTAGCATTTTTGGCCCTGTCACATTGGAAGGATATCAGGTTGAGAGAAGTGCTCAATCTAGTCCAAACAAATAAGCAAACCAACGAAGGCATTGGACCTCCAACATCATAGTGTTCTCAGAATTTAAGTAAGCCCTAGGAAGCCTTCCATTCAAAAGGTAATATCTACAAGAAAAATTGGCTCTCTTGTGTGGTTTTCTTTTTTTTTTACGTTTTAAGAGCACAAATTATTTTCCTTTGTGGTAGGTCTTTTTTTTTTCCTGCTGCCTGTCTCTCCTAAGAAAGTCTTAGTTTTAGACGGTTCTATGGAAATGGTTTCTGTTGTTTCCCAGAGAGTATGCCTAAAATTCCTATACCACCATGTCTTCCACCTTCCGTGAAATACCAGCCCCCCTCCCCAAACCAAAAGTCAACGCCCTTCAATTTCTCCTCCTAGACTTAGGCGTCCCCGAGATCGGTTCTTTTTTGTAAAGAGAAAATCTCACGCAAAAAAAGACTTAATTTTTCTCGCCCACTCCCATCGCTCAAGGACAGCACCAGATAGCGCCCTCTGGCAGGTGAGACAGAAATAGTTAATGCTAATAACAAAGCGGCGATTTTCCCTGCCCTTTTTCAAGACTCTCCCCTAGACCCGGTTGCGCTTGCCAAAGGGAATACCAAAAAGCCGCATTTTTCGGTTGCAGCTTCAAACGGATCCCTTTACCTCTTTCTGCGCATATGGCTAAATTTAAGAACAGCCAATCGCTATTTCAAACCATTGTGAGTACACATTTCGCTCCAATAATAATAAAAAAAAATCTGCTTGTTGTACGCTGGCCTCGACTGCTGCTCAACATAAGAAAACCAGAGACGGGCGACAGCGCACGAACTGCTAAATTTAGATGGCTGGTGTGCCGAAGCAGATATTATTAGTCGTCGCATTTGATGAAAGCTACAAACGCACACAAATGGGCGGACCCCAAAGGCACCACCAAACCTGCAAAGACCACTCTTGGGGGAAACCCGCAGGGCGAGGCCCACCCAAAGTCGGTACTCACACCACTAGCCTAGAGATGATCCAGGAAACCATGGCGCTGTAGGACTCCGATGACAGCAAGACGGCGATATGATTTTGCCTGGGGTCGAGTCGATCCGTCCGCAGTCGCTAGAATGAACAGAGTAGGCGTCTCAGCCATTCGGCATCCAGCGCGCAGCCTCACTCGGGAGTAGGAAACAGTAGCAGGCACTTGTTGATAATATAGGATCCCAACCTCGCCCACAAGACTGGGATAGCTTTAGCACCTGTTCTCGGGATCTCTGCCTGTCCCCCTGCAGTGCCTCGTCCTTTGAGAAAAGGCGCGTCGTTCAAGTGGTCGGTCCTCAGGTTACCACCCTTTTCCCGAATTGGGGAATTGGAGAAGGGCAACGAAAACCAGCAGCCCCTTTGCTTTCATGACTGCAGCACGTGGCCATTCCGAAGCTATTGATAAGGCCGACTGAGACAATACAAACATTATACAAAGGTATAAGTTGTTTTAAACTTGGTTGTTGAATGAACTTTATCACTTACACATTTTTCAGCTACACATGGAAGTTACTATTACCTGCTTCTCAGAGATATCTCCAATTCTACAATCTCTAAAAGCACCCGTTGGTTGGTATTTTTATGCTAGGTCATAGTTTACCAAGCCATTATAAAGTATTAAAATTTCATTTATATATATCACTTTCAAAGCTGGCTATCCATCCATAGCTTCAGATGGTGGCTTTTTTTTCTCTCCTAAGATTTCCCTTTCCTGTTGCATTTATCTTTTTATGTCAAGAGTATATCTCATAGACTTTGTGCATTGTTCTTATCGAAGTCATTCATATTTGCTGCAATAAAATGTGCTTGTTTTCTGTCTGCTTTAGTTCAGCACTGTCCTAAAAACTATTTTAGTGCCCACAACCATTACTTCTGAAGCTCCAACATGCATATCTGTCTATAAAAGAGACAGCAGATTCATGGTACAACCCTGAGGTGGTATTCAGCATGTTCTGACCAGTTCTGGAGAACCCGTAGCGGAAATTTTGAGTAGTTCGGAGAACCAGCAAATACCACTTCTGACTGGAGATTTTACAGTATCCTTCCCCTGTCATGCTCACAAGCCATACCCACAGAACTGGTAGTAATTTTTTTTGAATCCCACCACCCTACCAGCATTTCAGGAGGAAAAAAGCCATGCAGTTGGTAAGAAGTTAGTTCCTTCAGCAATGGTGTTCTTGTGGACTGCAATCTGAGATAGTTCATATAACATAATGCTTATTTAGCCATGGCTTAACATAGCCCCATTTTTTTCATGGTCTGAAGCAAAGATTGCATTACCAGCTTTTTGAAAGTAGAGGTTATTCTTTTTTGTGGTAATATGATAGTGTTTAACCCATGTTATGCAATATGTCAGAGTGTTTGCAGCATGACTATTATTATGAGACAACCCAGGAGCAAAACACAGCACACAGAGACTTAGACATTTAACAGTGGTTTATATACAAGACATATACAGAAATAAACATAGTAGGCAAAATAACTTACAAGCAAACTTATTAACTCTACACTGAGAACTCTGCAAAGAATACCTGTCACAAGGAGAGAGAAACAGGCCCTCTAATGGCTGCCTTATGTAAACTTCTCTTAAAGGGGTAGAACCCATCCTCAGTCTTAAAGAGGCAGTACCAATGCTGATTCATCTTCATTGCATCAGCCTCATATTGCATCAGCTTCACTGCTGGTCAGCTCTTAAATCCCAAGACCGTAACAAATTATATGAAATAATTTTAACAATTAACTGCAATAATATATGCAATAAATTTTTCCGATCATTACTTATGGCTGAGAAACTTTGACTCTGAAAAAGAGAGATAGGAGAAAGTTAGATGCCTTTAAATTATGATGCATATTATGACTATTACGCGTCCCATGAACTACAAAATCATAAAGAAGTCCTAGACCAAATCTCACCAAAAATATCAGTAGATGCCAAGATCGTGAAATGCTGTTATATAGTTTGGCCATGTCATGTATTGGAAGGAACATCCATCTGGTTCAGTTCGAAGCTGGAAGAAAGACCCTGGAAACATGGAAGCTGGTTGGAAAGATGGTTTAATGATAAACAGAACTATCAGCATGTATGGTTCTGGTGCAGCTGACCAATTGGTTTGATGAGTACATGGATTTTATACGTTTCAGAGATGCTGCTAGGGAGGTTGTACAATGTTTGAAATGCCCTTAGGAGATTGTGCAATGTAACGAGCTCTGTGTCTTCTGCTAAATGGTAGTGGGTTAATCCTATTATGTCCTGAAGGGTCATGTCCTGTTCTTAATCCCATCATCCTGGACCTGAAGGTCTTTTGTTATGTAGATAAGCTGTCCCAGTCTTAATGGGCATAAAATTACTAATAATCCTCCCATTCTTCCTTTCACCCGTCCCCTCCCACTTATGACTGTATGACTGTAACTTTGTTGCTTGTATCCTAACAATTTTTATTGACTGTTTCCTAGGATGATTTGATTGCTTATTGTACCCTATGACTATTACTAAGTGCTGTACCTTCTGATTCTTGACTCTTGACGAATGGATCCTTAATGTACACTGAGAACATATGCACCAAGACAAATTCCTTCTGTGTCCAATCACACTTGGCCAATAAAGAATTCTATCTTCTATCTACTTGCTGAGGCTATTAAAAAAGAATCTACTTTCTGCTTCTAAAAAATGTTTCTCCATTTCTCATTTAAGGAAATACAATATTCTACTTTTTTAATATTTCCCAAAATATTTCATTCTTTTTTTTGGGGGGGGGGGGGGCTTCCCACACATGCAAGCTGCCAATCATGCTGGGAAAGATCAGAGAAAAACAGAGAAGGAAGCGTCTAGTACCCGCTGGCTGGACACTATGAAAGATGACACCAGGATGATGAGGGCAGATCTGAAGAGGCGGTGTGAGACAGAGTCCTGCTCCATAGAATGATTGAAGGTTGGACACAACTGGATGGCTGATGGTAATGAATTCATGTTATGCTTAATGCACTTATTTTCCACTGCACACTGAGTTTTACATCAAAATATGTATTATTCTTTGGAACTCAAAACAGTTTTACATCAGAATATTTATTATTCTTTGAAAAGTACAAAGTACAATTTCCCTTAAAAAATTTACAGAATCCACAGTCCTCTGAGAATCAGTGTCTCCTCTAGATCAATGGTCGCCAATCGGTGAGCTGGGGACCACTGGTGGTCCACGAAAAAATGATGGTGGTCTGCAGAGAAATGTCACACCCCCCCCCCCAAAGCATCCCCCAGAGCAATTAATCCAGGCTGCATGGGAACACAAGGCTGCACCGCCCACATGGCCTGCGGGAACACAAGGCTTGCGTCGCATTGTGAACATGAGGTAGTGAGGGGAGGGGGTAAAGGGTGGAGGGTGGGACTTGCCCCACTCGCCCCACGTGCCTGGCCTGGCTGCCGAGCTATTTCTTCTTCTGCTTTTGGCTGCACGCAAGGAAAGCAGCAAAAGTCTTTCTTTCTCTCCCCCAAACTCCGCCAGAAATGAGTCTCTTGAGACCCTGCAAGGCATCCTGCTCCAAGAGGCTGCGCTGGCACAAGTCTTACAAAGACTCATTTCTGGCGGAGTTTGAGAGAAAGAAAGACTTCTGCGGCTTCTGCTGCTTTCCTTGCATGAAGCCAAAAGTCTCTCTCTCTCTCTCTCACCCCCTGAGAATGGAACTGGAGATGGTATCCTGCGATCCCAAATAAAGAATGATCAATCGGTAGGAAAATGGGATAGGGGATTTTCCTGAAGACTTTTTTGGGGATTTTCCCAGGGTCTCTGGTCCACAGGATTTAAAATTATGAGTTTGGTGGTCCCTGAAGTCCAGAAGGTTGGCGACCCCTGCTCTAGATAATTGTCAGTCAAAGTGAAGCTAAGTTAATCAAGCAAAAATAGCAAATGGGAAATCTTTTACTCAAACTTCCTCAAAGAAGCACCAAATAAGTTATTCTAATCCACATATCAAAGGATAAGGTCTGTAAATACAAATAATTAATTAAAGACTCCCAGCGGAACTACGTTTAGAAGAATAAGCATCACACACACACACACAGAGCCTAGAATGTAGACACTTCCACACCCAGAACAAGCTCCCGTTAAAAATGTTACTATATCCCCTTTTTCTGCACTGCCTCTAAAAGCAAACTCCTTGCCTTTATGAATAAATTGTTTTCTTTCATCACAGCTGTCTAGATCTCATTTTTATTTATTCTTGCAGAATTCTGACTCAAGTTGGAACCCCGAATTGTTCTTCTGACAATACCTTTATTTAATCATTCAATACTATACTGCCAGAAATGTACCCCTTGCCCACCAGCAATATTATTAGCCCAGACTACTCTCCTATATATCAAAGGCCTTTTTAAAAAGTGATTTGTAATTTTGGGCCCTTCCCTACTGAGTAAATTCATATATGCATAATTAAATCTAATCAGAACATGGCAAAGGCAGTGTGTTAACCCAGTTAACAAAGCTTCCCATTGACCTGCTCAAAGTTTTGGTTAATGGTGGAAACCGAGAACACAGTGTTGCTCCCTTGCAACATGGCTGCCTATTAGTTAAATGGTGCCTCTGCCTTTTTGTATAATAAATGTTGGAAAGTTGATGAATAATCTGAAACTTTATGAAGGCATTGATGTGTTGGAGAATTTGGGGACTCCTGTAATGCAAGACACTCCCATTTTTGTTTAGTAGTAAATATAGTCAATAACAAGAAGAACATCATTTTTATTTCTAGGAAAGCTTAAGGATCCACAGGTATGTTAGGAAATACAGGTAACGCTTAAAATCCGAATCTTGCCCTGTGCAAGTTTACATTTAAAAATTAGAACAAAGACATCGATTCTACTCTAATGGCCTTGATATAAAAATATAAAATGGTAATTGGGCCAAGAACTTTGGCAGATGCAAAGTTTCTGTGGGCATATTGGTGCCCCTAAGTACCATGTTGGAGTGTAAGCCTAGGCAGTTTCTTCTTTTTAACTCTTTTTAGAAAGGTGATTTTTTCCTTTGAAATGCAACCTTTGCACTGATTATTTGTAATGAACTATTACCGTTTTTATTACTCTCAGTTGAGATTGTAATAAAGCATTAAAAGCTGTTTATTAAAAACCAGTTAGTGCTTTAAAAATCTGTATAATTCTACTGTTATATGTGC